CTTCTCCTGTCTCCATTTTGCCATGGTAGTACTGGAATTACAGACACGCACGCTCCTGTGCTGCCTTTATCTGTGTATTCAAACTCAGGTCCTCATGTCTGCACAAGCATCATACTCCCTGAACCGTCCTCCAGCCCCATTGCATTTTTAGTTAGCATACAGATAGGCTTCACTGTGACAGTGTCACACACACACACACACACACACACACACACACACATTCGCGCTTGTGTGTGTATGTATCATTATAGTTTGCTCTTACTTGTCCCCTCCTCTCCAACTATTGTAATGTCGCATTATTTCCTGAAATCTTTGTGGATACAGAACTCTAGGTTGATAGCTATTTTATTTTAGAACCATGTCTTTTGGTTTCTTTCGTTGCTACTGAGAAATCAGCTGTTGGTCATCTTTGAAAGAGAAGATTTTTTTAAGCTCTTCTTATTGCAAGTTTTTTGCTTTTTTAATGATGTGTGTCTATGATAAATGGACAGGATAGATTGTAGCCTGGGATGCTTGAACTACTATCCAGCTGAGTATGAACTTGAACTCATGACCCTTCCTCCTCTACCTCAGAAGTACTGGGATCGCAGAAGAAGAACACCACCCCAGCTTCCACTATATTTTTATTTATTTAATTAAAATTTTATTAAATTCTTTCCCAACTCTACTTGCTCTGTGTATTTTTAGGATTACGTTTCTTAACCATATTAAATATTTTTATGGTCTGCATGTGATCATTTCTATAGCAGAAATGCCTTGAGGTCTAATTCTATTCACTATTGTCCTTGCTGGCTCTTGTCTGATGACCTTGTTTTCTAGTGAGTTTTGTGATTTTTTTAAAACCGTGAGTTGCTTATTTTCCTTAGAATTTTATCTGTGGGAGTTCTAAGTCTGGAATAAAAATCCACTCCTGCAGAGAGGATCTGTGTTACTTGTCTTAGGCATCTCAGAAAGAACTACCCTTTTAGAATAATTTTCGATACATTCTCAGCTAGAGATTTTCTAAGCATCCACTTTACATGAGTGAGACTTCAAAGTCAAGTTATTAACACCAGTTTTCAAGAGAACAACATTGAAAGAAGCAATATGTTCCTCTACAAAAGAAGAAGATGAACACATTTTTTGTCACCCCATATTGCAAAGTGTAGCCCCTTTGGAACCAAATTTGTTGGTGAGAAACGGAATAGACCTCAATTGGGTTTTTCCATCTTTAATCAGTACCAAAATCTATTCTTTGACTTCCAGGTGTGTGAGATAATACGGCTATGAAAATCGACTCAGCAAATGTCACTGTCCTCAAAACTAATGACTTCCCAGTGGCTCGGCAGATCTCTGTCCCCACTTAGTGGTGGCTTGTGTATTCCATCATTTCAGTCTGCCCTAATGCCGGAAGATAAGGACCTAGATAGTACCTTCGAGCACAGGACAATAGTAAGAGTATTCCAGGACAATAGGTTTAAACGATTAGTTGATTATTCTTAAACACTGTCTTTTATATCCAATCCATCATGACAAACCCTGTTAATGATTCTTCATTTAGATCTCTGACTTCCTCCCCTCCACTCTTCTTTAAAATGTTGATTCTTTAAAAAGTTAGTTGCATGCCGGGAGATGGCGGCAGCGGCGGCGGTGCACGCATTTAATCCTAGCATTTGGGAGGCAGAGCCAGGCGGATCTCTGTAAGTTCGAGGCCAGCCTGGTTTACAGAGCGAGATCCAGGACAGGCACCAAAACTACACAGAGAATCCCTGTCTCAAAAAACGAAAAAAAAGTTAGTCGCTTTTTACATAGGTATACAGAGTCCTTAATGTCTCTTTGGCAATGGAATATAATAAAACCTTACAAATATAAAAAAGTTACTTTTATGTATTGTGCATACATAGTTGATCACAAAATTCTTTACCACTCAGCACTCTAAAGAAATAAACTACCCTATACTATTGGAACACACACATACACACACACACACACACACACACACACACACACACACACACACTCACCTTTCTACTTAAGACTGAACAGGTTATAGTGGCAGAGGTCTTTAATTCCAGTACTCAGGAGGTAGAGGCAGGCAAATCTCTGTGAGTTTGAAGCCAGCCTGGCATACATAATAAGTTCCAGGCCAGCCAGGACGACATAGTGAGATTGTCAAAGTCTGTCCTCTTTGCCCCTTGCATGAGCCATATGCATTTTTTGTAGCATGCTTTTGGTCCATATTGTTATTAACTACACCAATTCATCACTGTTCTGTAAAGGTTTTTTTTTTTTGCGGAACTCCCAAAATACTGGCTCTACTTATGATTTCCTAAGTCCTCATGCATGCAGGATATATTTAAAATAATAGTTTTAGGTTTATTTATTATATTTTATATGTATAAGTTTATGTATGTATGTGCACCACCTGCATGTCTTGTGCCTGGGAAGGTCAGAAGAGGGAGTCAGGGAAAGTTATGTATGGTCATGAGCCTCCCTATGGGTGCTGGGAATTGAACCCAAAGCCTCTGAAAAAGCAGTAAGTGCTCTAAACTGCTGAGACATCTCTTTAGCCCCAGTATGTATTTTAATTAATCTGACTTAATTAGATACAATCCTTTATTAATGAAGTTAGGCTATAAACAGTTTAATAAAATTTTGTTTTGTTTTGAGATAGGGTCTTACCATGTGTCTCTGGCTGGCTTGGAACTCATAGAGATCCATATCTCTGCCTCCAGAGTGCTGGGATTAAAGGTGTGCATCACCATGCTCAGCTAAGGGTTTGTTTTGTTTGTTGTTGTTGTTCTGTTTGTTTGTTTGAAGATTTATTTATCTATCTGTCTATCTATCTATCTATCTATCTATCTATCTATCTATCTATCTATCTATCTATTTATTTATGTATATGAGTGTTCTATCAGTTTTATGCCAGAAGAGAGCATCAGATCCCACTATAGACGGTTGTGAGCTGCCATGTGGTTGCTGGGAATTGAACTCAGGACCTCTGGAAGAACAGCCAGTGCCCTTAACTGCTGAGCCATCTCTCCAGCTCCCTCAGCTAGGTTTTTAACTTACGTCTGACTCTTAAGTCTATACTTTTTCTAGTTAGATAAAACTACCTCTCAGAATTCCATTAATATTGTTGATTTTCATTAGGAGCTGGACAAAACCTGATGTAACAATGCTTCATATTTAACTGGATTGTCTTAGGTTGGTTTGAATAAAACAGAATCTTAAGTGGCACTGCAATTTATAAACTTTATTCACTTAATAAATTTCTTAGGAAATCCCTTTAAAGGAACAAGGTACAGTTTTCCAATAAAAATAACATGCTCTTTCTGAATGTAATGGCCCAGTCTCTGAATCTACTCAAACCACCTAAGATCTGTCCTTCAGGGTCAATGTAGCACCTGAGAATACAGTGTGTAGGAATTCGTCCTATGGCCACCCCAAGGTCAAAGAGAAGATATTAAAGACCCAGTTTGCAAAACTATTCTGATGTGAACAGAGAACCAGCAAGCTAAACTAGACTGTATTATACCAAATTTACGCAATTCACCTTAGAGCTGATCACAAACGGTCCCATCTGTAGACTAGACTTCAGTTGGGATTTGCTTTGGGTGTGTAATGCAGAACCAGTTTCTTGAATTAAAGAGCTGTTGCTTCTCATTATTTCTACATGATATGTAAGAAATCAAACTGAGTTTTGAATTATGTTGAATAGTTTGAGCTTGTAATACAAAAATAAGGGACAGACACATCCTATAGACTTTTGAAAAATGGTTGCTTATTAATTCTAGGCCAGATAAAGACAGGCAGGCAGGGATGCAATCTGTTCTTATGTCTACTGTAGCACAGTGTTTCTCTCTCTTACCTTCCTGTCTCGTCCTTCATCAACACACACTGCAGACTTCCTAGGGCAATGTAGAGATCCAAACAAGAGAAGGAAGCACACTAAAGTAATGGAGGACAGGCTACAGGAGATGGACAGTGTCAGACATCATGTGGGAGAAAAGAAGGAATTGTCACAATTAGCCACTTGGTCAAGCGAAACCCAAAATGGTCATTTCAAAGGTAGAGGTAAGAAAAACATCTAAAAGACCCTTTACTTCTTTATAGCAGGCTCTTTTCAACAAGAACAGAGGGAAGCTGAAATTAACTTGGAAATTGGTTTTCAGAGACCAGATGTAACTTAGCCAACAGAGCAAAGGGACAAAGGATAAATAAGACTCTCCATCTAAAACTGTTAATGAAGAGGTATAATTATAGACTTTGAGAAAAGAAAAAATAACCAGAACTTTAATATAGAAGCAGCCAGGAATTACTCTGTTTCTCCCAAACACATAGACTGTTAATATGATCTTCACTGTTTAGATAGTAACGTGATGAATGAGACATTCATTTAAGTCTCTTAATTACATGACCTTACACTCTGGAAAGTAATACAAGTGTCACACTTTATGATATAGGAGTTCTGCACATTTGCACAGGCAAACTCCTCTGCTCCCACTCTCTTTGGGAGCACCCATTAGGGAACACAATGCTGGAAACCCATCCCGGGAGACAAGGGTTTCAGATCTGGAACATTTCCTAAATGCAGGTGTGGAAGTGTGGAGTGCTCATAGTAGCAGTTTAATTTTCTTAGTTTCTATTTCTTCTTATACAGGCAGTTTATAAAAATGGACACCAAGATGGGTCCACAGATAGGAAAGGGGCAAAAGAGGATACAGAATCTATGAAAATTGATTTTGGAATCTTAGTACAACCAGTGGCTTTGGTAAGAAAAATATTATAGATGAAATCTTTGAATGAGAGATTTAAAGCATTTCTTTAAAATTAATACTTAATTTCAACAAACCTCCAAGTCAAAACACTAGCGAAAGTAAAAGATGTTTTTATCAAGGCTAAAATTTCTGCTAAGTTAGAACACAATTTGTCTAAAAATGAATTAATTTTTTAAGTGATTTTGTCAGTTCTGAGAACACTGGAACATTCTATCCAAATTTGTTAAATAAGACACATACCTCATATTCTTTTCTGCAAACTTTGGAAATATCATTCTTTGAAGATGCCTAAAAGCAAACAAAAATCTTCATTAATTTACTATGCATGCTATTTATTTTTACTGGACAAAAAAGAACACAAATTAGTATATGTTAATTGTTGGTATACTATTCTTTATTTCATCTAGGAAAGCATCATACTCAAATATTTACAAGTTCCTAAAATACAACAAATCTCATGTAATGTTTAAAACAAATAGCACCCCAGGCCTTACTCAATATGCAGGAGCTCCAGGCTAAGTTTATGTTTCAATCTCACATAACAACACAGTTCTTTTGTTATTTGGAAACCAGACGACTTTGAAGGAAATGTAAATCAGAGGCCTTTTAAAAAGCTGAATTCCATTCTAGTGAACTTCTTGTGAAGCTCTGCCAGGGCACTTACATTTTGCTTGCTCTTTAACCCTTCATAGTCAACATTTGGTACTGACTCTCCTGAGCCAATTCCCTCCAAAAAGTACCACAGAAAATGGAGAGCGAGCTAAAGAAGAGTATGGCACTCCAGGAGGCAGTGAACAAGTCACTCTTCTGGTACCTTCTCAACAAGTGTACAAACGAGACAGTATCCCCAGTCTCCCCTCTACTGTCCAAAGACTGATCTCAGAAAAAGAGCAAGCTACTCATCATAGTGAAGTATGTGCTTCTGTGCAAACAAGGCCAAGTAAAACTGCTGCCAAGTGATTTTTTTTTCTACAGGCCACCAGGCTCAGTGTAGAGACGCTGTTCCAGAGTCACAGGATCTCATCCCTTGTTTGATTTCCTCCTATTCTGTCACCCGGTCCCATGCAATTTATAACAAACTAGCTGATAAGGATGGGGGAGGGGGCTTGTGGTATGGCAAGGAGAAGAATGGGCTGGTAACTGCTCTAAGTCCCCAGGATCTTAGTTCAAATCCTGGATGGCTCCACTTTGCCTTAATGTTTGGAGTGGCAGATAGCTAGGTCGTGTGCTGTCCAATACTGCAGTGCAGGCGTAGGGCAGCTTTGTGTTTGGAAGTGAAGGTGAGGCCGGTGTGCTGGCTCACTCCTATAACCCCAGCACTCATGAGGCAGAGGCAGAAGAACTGCTGTAAATTGGGACCTGTTCGATCTACACAGGAAGTCACAGGCCAGCCAGGGCTACCCCAGACCCTTTCACAAAAACAACGGACAAAAATTCCAACAACAGAAGTGAAGGTAACGTTGGCATCTCACATGGCCCAGAGAATGGTCTCCAGAACAAGCTTCCAGCTCTGTTTACAGGTGAGTTCAAATAGCCATGCAAACAGCTAGCTTCCCAGTTAGGCCTACACCCCCCACTTGGAGTAGAGAACCCAGGAAGCAAATGACACTAATCCGAGAAGCTCCTAAAAGACATGCAGTGAAGAACTCGGGGCCTACCTGAATTTGCAGCAGAGATAGACCTATCAGAGAAAAGCCCCAGCTTACTAGAGGAGTCACGTGTGCCTTGAGAGCAGAGAAAGGGCAGGGTCACGAGCTCAGAGTAAAGCATGATGAAAAGTGAGGAAAGATGAGCACAAGCCAAGCCAAGGTGTCCCTGCTTTCATCCAGCACCACCCCAGATTAACAGATTCGGCCTCGCACTGACTCAGCACGTCCTGTTCGAGGGACAAAATGCCTTGATCCCAGTAAACTCTTCTGTGTGTGGCAGAGAGAAGAAAGAAGGAAAAAAGGGGAGAGATGGGTTAGTGGCTAAGAACACTGGCAGCTCTACCAAAGGACCCAGGTTCAATTCCTAACACCCACATGCTGGCTCACAACCATCTGTAACTTCAGTTCCAGTGGATCTGATGCCTCCTCTGGCCTCCACAGGCACCAGGTACACACGTGGTACACAGACAAACAAGCACGCAAAACACCCATACACATAAAATAAAAATTTGAGAAAAGACAGGAAAAGAGTAAGAGGAGGTTGAGGCTTTTCACAGGCAGTGGTCGCCACTGAGACACAAGCCTAACACTAAATGTGCAGTTTCTGTAGGTCACCTCTCCAAAGCTGTGAAGTAAACAAGGCCTAAAACTGACAGCTAAAACCCAACTGTGCTCCACGGTGCTGAAAAGCCTGATTGTCAGATGTTACCTGCTTGCATGCCTGTCGACACTCCAAGCCAATAGCCAGTTCACAGCAGCCTAAGCCAACCCAGCCATCGGACTTCTTAAACACACCTGAAAAACAAAATGTTCAAATGCTTTGGTCTAAGTGTCAATGAAGACAAATAGTATATAAAACTAACGGCTATTATCACAAGGCAAAGTGAATGTCCACGAGAGAACAAGTTCAGACAGCAGGGCCCCAGGATTCTGTACCTCCCCTGGCCCTCATCTCCAGTGACGTCAGTTCCCTGGGGTACCAAACTACATAACTCTCAGTCTTGGGTAAACATCACGTCAGTGAGAGGGCATGCAAAGTAAGGAAAGCTGGGAGAAAGGCCTTTTCCTCATTCCACCTGTGAATCACATACAAATATTCTGACACAATTTAAGCAAACAGGTATAAAAGAAAAGCATGTTTATCTTTTGTGTTAAAATATTAAATATGTAGAATAACATAGAACTCATTATCTTGTTTCAAAACTGATACATAGAGAACATGCAGGATCAATTTCTATGAGCAAGTCCCAGCTTTGACAAGCATACCGAACCATTCAAAATGACAAGGTGTTATTTCGGTTTAGTTTGCTTCCTGGTATTCAGACACTCTCACTCTTAGAATAGTGAACAGAATCTGTGTGGATCATAAGCTATGTGAGCTGTTATTCATAATGCAGTACATTGCTATCTTCATACACTCAGTAACCTTAGAAAACAAAATTATTCAACAAGCTCTTTTAGTTTTGAATCTCTACTGTATACAAGCTACTCTATCACATGCTACATGGGATATGAACTTACAAAACAGATAAAGTATACAAGAAGTAGCCCACTGTGGAGACTACAGTTTGGTCTGAACAGAAGCGTACTGCTCAGTTTGTTTGCAATGTAAACTTCAGAGTACAGCACTCTTTACAAGCTGAGAAACATAGAGCATATTCCTCTTTCCTAAGCGTTGGCTTTAACCAGGGCTGGGAAATGAGCTCAATTCCAGAAGACCATGAATGTCAGGCTACAGAATTTAGGCTTTATTGAAATGGAAGCAGAAATCCCTGAGGTATTCTTTCTGAAGGAGATGAGAAAGACAGATATAATGTGCTGAAACATTAATCATGAATTTATCATATAATAATGAAAATTATTTATTATTATATAATAGTCTATCCCAAGAGTGTAGCAACAAAGACTTGAGCTAGGAATAGAAAAGACAGATACAAGATCTTGCAAGGGGCATGTCAATGGAACTAGAAAGAAAAAACCATCAAAGGTTATTTGCAGGTTTCTGGGCTAATATCTCTCTAGCTAACTTTGGCTTTGTACTTCAGTTGTTACATGAATGCTGAGGCCTAGGTCACGATGTCGATTAATCACAAACAGCAAATTCCCTTCCTAGGGCCTACTAGTTAACAACTTACCTGTCCCGTGTGGAGAGAGGAGGGGGAGTTCTGCATATCAGAACCACCACGGTCCTTACAGCAAAGCAGAGGGAGCAGGGGAGAGAGCCTACAGTCTAACGCCAAGGTGATATTATAAGGAGGTGGTAGCCGATAGGATCGCCTGCTACGGGAAACTCAGAGCACAAATGTTGTGGACTATTATTTAACTATGTAAAGATGGGTTACATTTGCTTCTGCTACAGACTACTACGGTAACTGTGTAAAGGTGTGCTACATTTGTTTATGTTGCACTTGTTTATCATGTAAGGATGTGTTACATTTGTTTTTGCTGCATTAATTTAATTATGAAAAGATGTGTTACTGTTTCACTTTGCCTATAAGGCAGAAGCAGAGACCTGCCCCAACAAGGCAAAAAGGAGAGTACCAACTTCTGAAAAGTTATCCTCTGAACACACAGGTGCCATGGTGTATATGTGTCCATGTAGACATGTATGTGCACACACATACACTCATACAATGCAATAATAAATAAGTCATTTTAAAAATCCTATATACAAGGGCTGGAGAGATGGCTCAGAGGTTAAGAGCACTGACTGCTCTTCCAGAGTCCTGAGTTCGATTCCCAGCACCCACATGGTGGCTCACAACCATCTGTAATGAGATCTGGCTCCCTCTTCTGTATATGTAATCAATAAATAAATCTTAAAAAAAAATCCTATATACAAATCAGATTGAGGAGTATGATACAGATTTTACATTAAAATAAGTTTACTTACCTGGCAAAGATGAATTCATACAACTCCAAATTTCAACCTGAAATTGTAATCACCAAAATGCTTTTATACAAACAACTATACATGATAATTTCTACAGAAATTACACACAGTTAATTGGATTATGGCTGGGACCATATAGTCAATGTCCTATGGCTAAATCCATATTTTAAAAAAATAATAAAAGCTAGGCCAGTGTGATGGTTCAGTGGGTAAGGGGTGATATTGCAATCCATGGGACCCTCAGAATCTCATGGTAGTAGGAGTGAACCACCTACACACACTATACTCTGATCTCAATGCACTTGCCATGGTGTACACATGTGTGCATGCATACACACATACAAACTATACAAATGAGAACTACTGCACATGCTTTTCTCGTTTTTGCATTGAAAAGTACTGGGAATGAGCCAGGTTACTCGGGTTATTTATTGAAGTTACCGTTTCCAAGCACACAGAGAGTGTCTTCTGAGCAACTTAAGGAAATGAAGTCAGAACTGCTTGACCTTTGGCTCCTTCCCCCTCCACACAGCAGAGGCCACTATATCTAAAGAAGTTCTCTCACATAAACTTGAGCTCTCTTGGCCTGGCCCACACACATTCCAAACAATGAAAACAGCCCAAATCCTGGAGACACGTCAGACTTCCTGATTCAGACTTCAAGCAGTGTATCAATAACAGTGTGCCAGAAAATGGAGAGTTAGGGATAAGCCACATATTTTCCCTATCTCAAATTCAACTTTCCAAAATCCAAAGAACCCCATACAATTTAATTATAGATTTCATAAAATTAGTCAAATCATTGATAAAATTCTAAATTCTAGATGAAGTACTATAGTGAAATTTAAATACTGGAATACATTTATATTTCAGATTATTTGTATACCGAGGCCCTAAAATAGAAAATAGAAGGTGAAAGACACTGATCTACTTAGCAGTTTGTAGGAAGATTATTTTAGGTTTAAACTTTTATTCTGATCACACATTCCACACTTGAGAAGTTTGATAAATCTAAAAGTAACTGAGCAGATGACTCCATGTATACTAAAGCTGTCACAGTGACATAGGACTTACCATGGCTTCTGGACAGTAATCTGGGGCTCTCTGCAACAGATGCTTCAGTCGGGATTCACTTTTTGAGGAGAAAATCTATTTGACAAGAAAAAAAAAAGCCAAAAACTTTTGAGACTTTTTTTTTTTTTTTTTTTTTAAGAAAGAAGGGGTAAAAAGTATCGTCCTCTTGCCGGGCGGTGGTGGCGCACGCCTTTAATCCCAGCACTCGGGAGGCAGAGCCAGGCGGATCTCTGTGAGTTCGAGGCCAGCCTGGGCTACCAAGTGAGTTCCAGGAGAGGCGCAAAGCTACACAGAGAAACCCTGTCTCGAAAAAACCAAAAAAAAAAAAAAAAAAAAAAAAAAAAAAAGTATCGTCCTCTAGATGTACCAGTTTTCTAGAATGCTTTTGTTTTATATAAGGAACCTTTGGAGGGCTCCAAATCAAGCCGAAGTAAGATCTGTTTTACACACTCGGTCTCACTATATAGCCCAGGCTGGTTTGAATTCAGGATCCTCCTGTCTCAGCCTCCAGAGTGCTAGCATTACATGCCCAGCTTCTGAAGTAACATTTCTTATAAGATTATTTGGTTAATTTGGGAAACAATCAGGAAAAGTCCAATTGCACCAAGTTGAGAATCTTTTCTATTACCCCAAAGTGGAGAAAACAAGCTAAATAATACTTAGTATTGTCTCTGTAACCAGCAACTATAATTAAAAAGTAACAGGAATTAGAGTCTTACCATTTTGCAGTATCTAGTGAGTTAATGCATTTAGGCAACTATCAACAGAGACTACTATACATCACAAAAAGGGACAGCTAGATTTACTATCATTCATGGGGGAGACGTGCCAAACAAACCAACCAAAAAAATCTTCCAGTCTGATCAAGCATCTGGCTTTATTTCATAAGGCACATGCAAATCAAATGTGGCTATTCAATTTAAATGTGAATCAAGCAAAATTAAATAAAAATAGCAGAGTATGGGGACACATACCCGTAATTCCAGCACTTGGACTAGACTAGGCTACACTGACCGCCGCTGTCATACACACACACCAAGGAAAAATTACACTGGATATGGTAGTACAGGTCTGGAACCCCAACCCTGAGATGTCAAAGGAGGAGGCCATTCCTAGTGCATAATGAGTCTGGGCCAAAAATTAAATGATAAAGACTTGAGTTCCAGGCTCCTTAGTCACAGTTCAGGTATGTGAGGGCTAATCTCAGTTCTCAACCTGACTACATCTGGGAGTGACTACAATCCAAGCACCCGGGAATAGTATAGTTGTTGGTATCATCATCACCATCATTTATGTGTGGGTTTTTTTTGTTTATTGTTTTTTGTTTTTTTGTTTTTGTTTTTCAAGACAGGGTTTCTCTGTGTAGCTTTGCGCCTTTCCTGGAACTCACCCTGTAGCCCAGGCTGGCCTTGAACACACTAAAATCCACCTGCCTCTGCCTCCAGAGTGCTGGGATTAAAGGCATGTGCCACCACCGCCTGGCTATGTGTGATATTTTAGGCATAGTCTACAATTGAGTTATATCCTCTGCCCAGTTATTGCTTTTTTTCTAAAGTCCTTATAATTTATAAATTAAGTTGAAAAATCATATAACAAATAATATGACAATTAGGATTTGCTCCAATATAAATATGCTTTAATAGACTAGGGAAGAGGAATAGGAAGACTAGAGAGAATTATAAATGAAACATAATAAACCACAACTAACAATGTTGAAGCTTAATAAGGAACTGATTACACTTTTCTATCTTTATATATATACTTGAAACATTCCATTATAAAAGGATAAAAGGAAGAGTAAGAGGGAAAAACACAGGCAAAGGAGGACAAGAAGGAAAGACAAGGAGTGGATGAACAATCTTAGCAGTGCACTGGGAGGAAACACAGAGGAGGCTATAGTTTTAAATAATCTCCTGGGGGCTAGAGAGATGGCTCAGCAGTTAAGAGCACGGGCTGCTCTTCCAGAGGACCTGGGTTCAGTTCCCACACCCACATGGCAGTTCACAATCATCTGGAACTCACATTCCAGGGGATCCAACACCCTCTTCTGGTCTCTGAGGAACTAGGCATGCAAGTGGTAAACAGACATACATATAGACAAAACCCTCAAATGTAAAGTAAACATAAAAATAATTTTCAAAATCATCCCCTTGTTTCTCCTCTATATTCCTCAAAGATAGTAAAGGCAAACACAAAATAAATAAAAAAGCCCAGGCAGCCCAAACAGGCTAGAACAGTGATGAGACCGTGGACTGAGATCATATAGCTCTGAGACCAGACAGCCTGGTTGGCCTGGTATCAGGGTTACATCTTGGTGGCTAGGTATGGACTGCATAATGCATGATGCTGAGTGCTCAGTCTCTGTTCCTCCAATCACTGGTGTGGAAACTTTAGCAAGTTATTTAACTCTTTTCTATCTCAATTTCTTTACCTATAAAATGAAGATGATGTTGCCTCCAATATATTACAGAAAAATTGAATAATGACTGAGATCATTACTCTCAAGTTCTAGAGAACGTCTAAGGCTACACAATAGCCCTAAGATGACTGAAAGGGAGCTAGGACTTTATGGAGAGGTATTGCTTCAGTAGAACTTGCATAAAAAAGGCTCAACCAGGAAAAAAAAAAACTATAAAATTTTTTGAAGAGCAAAACAATGAATCCATAGTATCCAACATGTCTACCAACTATTAACACCTTACATTTGCTTTAACTATCTCAGATATACATATTGTTATTATCAGCATCTTGATTATTTTAGGATTCATTACAGACAGTGAGATTGTTTGCTCCTGTATCCTAGCATGGGCTTGGGACACAGCTCAGCTGGTAGAGGGCTTGCCCAGCATGCTCAAAAGCCGTATTCTAGTTCTATCACCACACAAAGTAGGTGTGGTGGTGTACAAGAGTAATCCCAAGCCTGGGATCCATGAGACACTGTCAGTAAAAAATCCCCAAACAAAAACCAAACCAAACCAAAGATACCCCAATTCACTCTCAGCATGTTATCTCTTTAAAATAAGGGCTCTGTCATACCTAACCATAATACAATGACCACGTTCAGGATAACAATACTGACAGAATACTATCAGTTCATGTCCAGGCCATAATCAAGTGTCAACAACTCATCTCACTAATTTTTGTTACAAAATGTCTTTTTTATTCCTGGATCATTCACTGCATTTGGCTGCCAAGTCTCTTTAGTTAATTTTATCTAGAATCATCCTTCAGCCTTGCTTTGCTTTGTAATAGTGGTATTTTTAAGATAATTGATGTGTCTGAAGAGTACAGGCTATTGTTTCAAGAGTCAGCCCTCAATCTGGGTTGGCCTGATTTTTTCTTATGATTCAGGTTATGATACTATGATCCTTTTCAGTGCGTCTTGTCAGTTGACACATTATTTGTGATGTAAACTGTGTGAAAGTTGTTGTATAACAGACTTTTCCTAAAATAAATTGAATAAATGACTTAACTGATTTTGTTCACAATTATTATCAAGCTTACCTGTTCACATACATCACGGCACATTTGGTTATCCTTTGCATGATTACAACATACAGCACCTAGGGAAAATAGGAACCATGATGTCTCACTGTTACACTGTCACAGGATGATTGAACGTGATTGTTCGATAGACTGTTCTTTTGTTTTTTGTTTTGGGACAGGTCCTCCTGATATATAACACAAGCTGGCGTCCAAACTCCTCATCCTCCTGATTCAGTCTCCAAAATGCTGATTTAGAGGCTGTACCTAAGGCATGTACTATCACATCTGGCTGTCATTACACATTTTAACTGGATCTTTTTTTTTTTTTTTTCCCGAGACAGGGTTTCTCTGTGTAGTTTTGGTGCTTGTCCTGGATCTCATTTTGTAGACCAGGCTGGCTTCGAACTCACAGAGATCCGCCTGCCTCTGCCTCCCGAGTGCTGGGATTAAAGGTGTATGCCACCACCGCCCTGTAACTGGATCTTCAATGTGCATTAACTACAACTGAGATGGTAGGTGTGGAGACATGGTGCTTGCTCTAGAGAAACTAATAGGAAAGACTATCACATAATAAAAGTACTTACTCTATATTGTGTACTTTCTATATATTTCCTACTAAGCTTGTTTATATATTATATTTTTCAGTCATTAAGATTACTCAATGGACAATATTTTATTAACTATAACACAAAGCTAAACTGGTTTTAAAATAGTGAATTCTGTTTAGGGCTTGTTGAATTTGAGGTTCTTACAGGATATTCTGATGGACACTGGTGAAGTCCAGAGTCAAAGTTTGGAGGAGGGCTAAAAGCCCAGCCTAAAGATCCAGATGCGCCAAGTCAGGAGTACAAAGCATAAAGGGAGACGGTGCTGTCCAGGGAGAGTTTCTACTGGAAAGTCAATACAGCAGCAGATCGAAATGAACAGCAGCAACGGAGATACAGGAAGGAACAGGAAATGGCTGAAATAGAGCAGGAGAGAGGTCAGCCACTAAGGGACACACAGGACAAGGAATGTCAGGTGCCCGCAGAGAGACAGATAGAAAGCGGAAAAAGAAAACAAATTTGCTTAGAAAGCCAGCTGCTGGCTGGCTGTGGTGGGCCATATCTGTGATCCTATTTGGGATGAAAAAGCAGGAAGGCCAGCCTGGGCTACATGAGACCCTTTCTCAGAAAAACAAAATAAAAGTAAAGTGAAAAGCACATCTCAGCTAATTTCTTTTCATTTACTCACTTGCTTATTTACTTTGTATGGGTGAGGTGGAGGAGAGTAGTCAACACATGGGAAGAGAGCGAAGAGAAAGACCTGTCAACAGAGGTTCCTTGAGAAAGCCACTTGGAGTTGAACATTCTACAGGCTGATTAGGACTTCCCGACTGTGGTAGACCCAGTTATCTTGGGCTATCTTTAGTCTCCTTTAAGAACCACTTCTCACTCTCCTCTGCACCAGACATGATATCCTTTTGACTATCACATCAAATCTCTGGAATGCATTAATTTAGCAGATCACTAACCAGCTTTAACTCACCCCCAAATTAAGAGTGTAATCAAATAGCATCTGAAACCTAGACTAGAAACGCTCCCCCCAACCCTGCTGTAACCCACTTACCTAACGTCCCCACCAACGTATCCAGTAACTATAAACACTGTTGATTGATTACTTTCTTCTGCTGTCTGACTACAGGAGTCCTTCCACAGTGGACTGTGTCATCTGGGTAACCAGAACCCAAGTTCCTGGGCCACGGTCGCTCATACTTAGCTCAAAATAAACTATTTCTTAAATACCTTTGGAGCAGGAACATGTTCTGTTTTCCAGAGCAGTGACCAAGAAACCAAGTAAAATGTTTCAAATGCTGCTGTCACATGAGGTGGAATTCCCATTGGTCACACTATTCAGGATTCTAAAAGATACTGTTATCAGTGTGGACCAGTAAAGGCAAAGCCTAGCTCAAGAAGTTACACACATCCTTTTCCCAGGATTAGGTTGTCTAATGAAGAATCTGGGCGGCTTTTGTTCTAGCTCTTGAGAGGGAAGACGCCAGATCCTTGGAATTTCCTCAACAGTAGGAGTGCCTTTGCTATGATGTGAAGTAATCCAACTGGATGCTTCAGGATGGGGACTAGCCAGGTCTGAAAGACTAGCCTGTGACAGGAGAATTAGGGATTTGAGTCCTTTACCAACTTGACCTCTTAATCATTGGTGGTGGCAAGGGAAGTACCAAGATTGAATTCAACCATTTGACCAATAATTCAGTTAATCCTACACAATGAACCCAGATGAAGATTCTGACACAGAAGCTCAGTGAAGCTTCCCTGGCCGGTGACCACATTAATGTGCTGGGGAGATTTTATATATGTAAATGTACATTGATTCTGCTGGGTCTGGTGGCACATGCCTTTAATCCCAATAGGGACATACAGATCTCTGAATACACAGTTAGCCTGGTGTACATGGCAAGCTCCAGGCCAGCCAGAGCTATACAGTGAGACCATTTCAACACTAAACTACACACACACACACACACACACACACACACAGAGAGAGAGAGAGAGAGAGAGAGAGAGAGAGAGAGAGAGAGAGAGAGAGAGAGAGAGAGAGAGAGAGAGAGAGAGAGAGACTGAGATTGACTGATCCCCTGAGAAGGGCAGAGCTGGCCCCGAGTCTAATTTGGCTGGTCCTCCTGGTTCACTCATTACACAAGACAGCTGTCGTACACCCAGTGTGTATCCTACCTCAGAGCTACTCCCTAAGTGTAATTTTAAGTATACTGCTTCCCTGAGCTCTGAGTTGTTCTTGGGAGCTACTGACCCTGGGCATGAGGACATTAGATCTACACCCAAACCAAAGTATGTGAGGGGGCTGGCTAGATGGCTCAGTGGTTAAGAGTGATTGCTACTCTTCTAGAGGACAGGGGTTCAATTCTTAGCACTATATTAGGTGGCTCAAAACTACCTATAATTCTAACTCCAGGGATCCAGCACCCTCATCTAGCCTCTACAGGCACCTACAGAACCGTGGCATACACTCATAAAAAAATACAATAAGTCTTTTTTTTTTTTCAAGTGAGTTACTCTGGTGAGACAGGAGCTGGCTTCCCTCAGGCAGCAAAAACAGGGTTGAGGGTGGACCAAGAGCCAGTTGTACAGCACATGACCCCCTTCCCTGAGTAAGTAACTCTGGTTGGGTGTGGGACACCCTAATGGCACAGTCCCCATGTCCTCAAAAATGATCAATTCCAACAGAAAATACCTCAATCTCCACTCAGTCCCCACCATAGAATCCATGGAAGACCACTGGGCAGGGCAGCAAGCCAGCACTCTTCCGGCAGGGCCCTTCCCCCTCCCGGAAGAAGTTCTTTTTTATGGTTCTTTAATAGATCTGTTTGCTCCCATTAATCCTTGTCAGTGTTTCTAATTCTTGGGCACAAGACACCACACTCAAAAAGCACTGGCTCAGGGGACTTTGGTGACTGTCCAATGCCCTCAGTTTCCCAGTTAAGGTCACCATGAACCAAGAAAGGCTCCACTGTACTCAGAGGACCTGGAGTAAGGCTGGCCTATGTAGTGAGCAGTCTGGTTAGGGCCGTTCACTTTAGCCTGCAGGTCCGTGCAGACTCTGGGTGGTTATGGCACAACTGGACTGTAGCACACCCAACTGGAGGTCAAGCAGAACACAGTGAGATGAGGTGGTTGATGGGGGATGTGGGCTCAAGAGGGGGAACTGTGCTTAAAGACAGGGCCACAGTAGTAAACAAAGAGTTGTGTTCTTCAGCTTTAGGGAAATGCCAGTCCTGTGGCAGCGTAACTAGAGTTTTAGGGACAAAACACTCAGGTTCTAACACACCAATTAAAGAGAGGAGTAACAGTAAAAGCAGAGAGCTAATACATTCTTGAAAGAGAAACAAACAAAAGGGCCAATGACCCCAAGTCTGTCTTGAGGCGACTGACAGGAACTTTCATTTTAATCGGAGGAGGGCAAGAGGCTTCTAGAACTAGGCAGCCTGGTTAAGGTGTGGTCCGGCTGTCAGCTGTCTCGTTGTCTCTTCCCAAAGAGGATCAGAAGAACTTTCAGAGCTGTCACAAGCTCCAGAGGACCAATCTGGTTCCCACAGGGCCATTACTTCTGCTGCAGGGGGCAGAGGAAAAGTGCTCTGTCCTGAAAGGTTTGGCTGTTTCTACAGGTTTAGGACAATGGCTTATCCTGTGACTTCAGCCTTGAAGGGAGACAGGTACTCCTTGAGAGAGTAACATGCCTAGGGTACAACAGAAGGCTGAGCCAAAGGAGAGAGACAAAATGATGCAGGAGGTACCAGACGTGGTCTTGCTTTTAGGTCACCTGTGGGTCAGTGACCAGCTCAATGCCTGTCTTTTAGGAAAAGCAATTTCTAAGTGCCTGTTGTAGCAGGATGAAATCTAGCCAAGGAAAGGATTTAAAGACAGTGCTAAATGAAGAGGGAAGGGGACGGCATCTACCTTCTATGTGAAACACATGGGTATAATAGGATTAAGATGTGCTGTGTTGTGGGCCTGAGCTGAAATTGTCAAGGTTGGAACTGGCCCCTGTAAGAATCCAGAAAGGAGGCAAACGGAGACACGGTTTGTGTTTGTTTATTTGTTTGTTTTGGTTTTTGGTTTTCTGAGACAGGGCTTCTCTGTGTAACTCTGGTTGTCCTGGAACTAGCTCTATAGACCAGGCTGGCCTCAGACTCACAGAGATCCACCTGCTTCTGCCTCTTGAGTGCTGGGATTAAAGGTGTGCACCCACCATTGCCCAGTCTAACCGTAGACATGGGTTTTTAAATTGTGTTCACACAGGCAGCTGCTTCTTCTCCTCCTCTTCCTCCTCCTCCTCCTCCTCCTCCTCCTCCTTCTTCTTCGTTGTTGTTTTTTGAGACAGGGTTTCTCTGTGTAGCTTTGGAGCCTTTCCTGGAACTCACTCTGTAGACCAGGCTGGCCTTGAACTCACAGAGATCCACAATGCCTCTGCCTCCTGAGTGCTGCAATTAGGGATTAAAGGTGTGCACCACCACCGCCTGGCTCAGGCTTCTTTTTTAAACTCACATTTTAGACAACTACAT